TACTTTGGACATGTTATCAGGAGGGACCAGTCCCTGGAGAAGGACATCATGCTTGGTAAAGTAGAGGGTCAGCGAAAAAGAGGAAGACCCTCAAAGAGATGGACTGACACAGTGGCTGCAACAAGGGGCTCAAACATAACAATTGTGAAGATGGCGCAGGACCAGGCAGTGTTTTGTTCTGTTGTACATGGGGTCGCTAGGAGTCAGAAGTGACTCAATGGCACCTCACAACAACAACTACAACTCTAAGGTATTTTTGTCAATTTCTTTTGGTATGTAATCTTGGGGAATCCTTTTACTTTTCTTTTCGGATGACGTCTCACAACAGGAAATTTCTAGGGAAACATCATCTAACCATTTAAGGTCCAATTGTCACAGGTATGACTTTTCCAAAGCTAGTCAGCAAAAGAGGGTCAAATATATACAATCTAACACATTTAGATTTTACAAGCATCTGCTGGCAGCCCCCTCCCTTTATCGAGTACACATCATGTGTAAAATCTGTTTCTAATCAACTAATACCTAGCCTAAAGTCTGTGGTTTAAACACATTGACCTATCCAGATCCTTGGGGCTTATTCCAATTTAAATAGTACAAGTGTTATTCAAGTCCACAAAGAATTAGAGTTGGTTAGAAATATAATAAAGGGAAATTAAGCTGGGAGAGAGGCTTGTTTCCAAATAGTACCAGAGGGGCTGACAACACTTTTGAAGAGAGCCCGGGTAATGGGACGGTAACAAAATCCAGTCCTCAATTAGCCATGTGTCCATAGCTTCCAGTACAGGACTTCTGTGGAGGTTTTCTAGACTTTAACTGTATAACTAACATTTTGTGTGGTGGTCAGCAGGTCCTAAAAGCTCTTGATTTTGATAGCGTCTTGTGCAAAATAGAGATAATATTTTTTGGTATAGGAGTCTTGTGACTAAGTGGATATAAGCATCTAAATCCCTAGGGATATCTAAAATTTTCTGCAGAGTACAAAAAAAAAAAAAAAAAAAACCTTTAGTTTCCTGTTCTCACTTTGAAAAGGTCAGTATATTTACAGTTCCATATGGAGCCCGGGAAGCAGGTGTGAGTGACCGCACATGTAGATGAGGAGATTGGGATTTACCATCCCAGCGGGACCTCTCATATCTCAACTATCTCAGACAAATGATTTGATGACTCTTGGGCTCAGTTTTCCTATCCATAAGATGCAGTTAACAGCAAATCTACCAATCTATGTGACTATCACAACCAAATGAGAAAAAATGCATACATACACCAGAGGAAACTATACAAATGTTCGTT